AAAACAATGACAGAGGGCAGAGAGACTAAGGTTGCCTAGGGTGAGGCAGGCACGGGGTGAGGGTCAAGGGGAGTACTGGCCAGAGTTGCAATGAAACTTTTCCAGGATGATGGAAATGCTCCATATTTTGTGCTGTGATCTGCATGGACACATTTGACAAAATTCGTCAAACTCCGTATACTAAAACCAGGTACATTTTCCTATATAAATAGTATTTCAATAAACTTATTTGTTTTAACAATATACTCTTAAAAAAAAAAGAAAAAAAAAACAATATACTCTTTCTAGGTTACAGCATCAATATTGTGAAAAGCCTAACCTTTGGAGCCAGAATTATCAGAGTTCAAATTTTAGTTTAATAGCTCTGTGATCACTTTGGGGGTTGTTTCCCCATACTAAAACAGCATAATAATGCCTGCCTCATAGCTTTGTTTTCAAAATTAAATAAGAAATGTAGGTAAAACACAGAGTATAACATCTGGCACACATGAGGCACAGTCCCCTGATCTGAGATAACCAATCAAAAAAATTATTTTAGAAAATGAATCAGTAAACATCAGACAACTACACTAGCTTCTTTTGTACTCTTGAAATATTCTGACATTCTTTGTTCACTGTTTATTGTGGTTGAACTTGACTTCAAGAATTGGCATCCAAAGTCAGTTCCTGTGATTTCACAGTAACTCAGGTCTAACAGCAAGCATCGTGAACTGAAATTTCTTTAGAGTCTAGGAAAATATTCCATGACAAATGTTATAGAAGGAAAACTGAGAAAAGCCAAAGTAAAACATATCAATTTTCCCAAGCAAGGAGAATGGTAATACAGTATATTTTAATTATCTTTTATTAAAAAAAAAAAAAAGGAAAACCAATATAGTTGGATGTTTTCCTCTTTTCAACTAGGATTTTAATTTTATCCAAACCAGCAGCCAACCAATAAAGTTACAAAATGACACAGCATTTGTATTTTATCTCCTGCATTTCTCACGACAGTCATGTGATAGATGATTAATACTAAATTTGTTTTTATTTTACAAGTAAAGATCTTCTGAGACAGATGAAGCAGCTGCTCAAGGACACAAGCCAATAAACAGCAAAGTTTGGATGTGAAATCAGACATGTGGCTCCATATCATGCCCCCCCCCCTTTTTTTTAGTAGAGATCACCATTAGAGAATCAATTTGAGTTCCATGAAATTCTTTACATAACTATATGCTTTTCCCTAACTTGACATCTTTAGTTGTCTAAAAGACAAACCAATTACACTGTGACATGCCTACTTAATTCCTAACCATTCAGGAATAACTGGCCATTTTGGATGGTAGAGGCTATGGCCAAATATGGGCTTATGATATTATCAGAAGTGACAATTCAAAAGCATAGTTCCAAACAGTCTACAGAGTGACATAAATGGTGAATTCCCCACACTTCTTCCTTTTCCCCACCCCAATACCCGCATCACAGGAACACACTCATATCCACCTTTGCCAGGCTCTGAACACAGCTCTGAAGAAGTAAAAAAGGAAAGCATACTATTGTTCCACACAAATATTCATACAATCACAGTATCTCAGTAGTAGTAGTCCATCCCCCAGCAAGGACTGACAAAATGGGTTATTTATTCATCTTCTATTTATTTGTTTGTTGTCCCAAACAACCCACAGGTGGCCTTCAAGACCATAAATAGGAGGAAGTATGAAGGAAACAAACTTCCTTCCACTAACATCTTCCCCCACTTTCCCCATTTACAGTGGTAAGACAGGCTGACGGTGACTCAGGAGCACTGCTTCCAAATGCACCCCTGTCCCCATCACTAATAACGAAGTCTATTCAAGTGCATTTAAATATTAACTTCAAAAGAAAATATTGTCAAAAAGTCCAAGTTTATTCATCTAGCTTTGTCGGAGATGTTTTTTCTTCAATCTGTGAGTCTGACCAGATAAAATTTTTGAAGGTTTACTATAACCCTACATGTCTTTTTACCCTTATTTTATAAGAAAACTAATGGGAAGATGAGATTCAATATACAGAAATGTCCTGATTACAGGTTCTAGAATATATCTACTCCATTTGGTACTATGAATAGTGTACACGGAGCTGGTACAATGGATTTAAATCAATGCTTCCTTCCGCAAATGGTGACACCTTCAAAGGTGTTATCTTGAAGGGGAAGTGAGCGATTTGCTAATGTTGCAGAATTATGCTAACACTATATTAACTCCCAGTCCATCCCATCTTACACTGAGTTTGAGAAATGTAGTCATAATCCCTATTATTTTTCAAGACTATGGTAAAATAAGGTAGAAAAGCTAGAACTGACTAACTCGGATATCCTACTACAAGTGTTGAAAACAACCCATCTGTCACCATTTCCTAAACACTATAAATGCACAGCCATATTCTCCCAAGCCATTCTGCAAATCCCAAAGACCCGTTAAGGTTAATGGGAATATAACAGTTTCTATGAACATTCAGTTCAACTAGCTCCTTTAAAAAAAACATTCAACTAAAGACAATTCTCGGGATTTCTTGTTTATGAAAGAAATAGCTAAATCACTAAACTCAGAAGCATCAGACTTTTAAAACTACTTCAAATCACATTTAAAGGTATCAAAATTATTATCATTACAGCTACCAGGTAAGAGGTATCTACTTAATGTCTGGCACACCATTAAGTACTTCACATAATTTCAGCCATGTTCCACAGAACACTGCAAAACATATTACTACACTGTATGGTAGGCTAGCACAGAAGCTTTGAGGAATTAAGTAACCTACTAAAGGCTCACAACTAGTCGAAGTATGGGGAGCTGAACTCAAATGTACCTGGCTACCTTAAAAAATATATATTCTTCAAAACTGTACTACCTCCCCAATTTCACAAGAGAATAGGCAGAGATGTGAAATGATTTGTCCAGCAATCTTAATCATTTCATCAGAAAAGGGAGAAAACTTCTAAAACAAGAACCACATTTTTGAAAATCCATAGTGCACTATTTAAACTTCACTTCTTTTCAAGCATCTGGGTGGCTCAGTTGGTTAAATGTCTGCCTTCGGCTCAGGTCACGATCCTAGGGTCCTGGGATCCAGCCCCACATCAGGCTCCCTGCTCAGCAGGGAACGGGATTCTCCCTCTCCTGCTCCCCCTGCTTGTGCTCACTCTCCCTCTTGTCAAATAAAATCTCCCTAAAAAAAAAGGGGGGGAGGGGGGGTTAGAAATCCTTTTAAAGTAAATTTCATCACAGATCTGCAAGTGAACTGTCAATTTTGGGTAAGCTGCCAGAATCCGTGGTTCTATGCACACTATCACTAGCTTGGATGAAGTACAAAGCACTTCATCCAATTCAGACATACGCTGAACACCTGCACTGTGTTAAGAGTCCTTCTCGGCAGAAGGGACAAAGCTAAGTAGGAAATAAAGCCCATCAACAGCCCTCAAGGAGGGAACAGTCTAGAGGACGAGTCCATTTATACTAACGTATACACTATTAGCCAGGCAAACAAATGAAGCTTGTGAGAAATCCTGAAACAAAAGTATGTATAACATGGCATCACAGCTCAGAGGAGAAAAGCAACTGGCCTATTTGTCACATTCTGTTGCAAGCAACATTTGCTTCCATGATGTCCCTCCCTGACAACCCCTTCCATCCACGCAACCACCCCAAGGAGGCACACACGACTGCACAACCAGGAAGGCAAGCTTCTAAGAGCAGGAACTGTGACTCCTAAAAGCGACCTTGTTGTTGTAGCTTAGAAGTACAGTGCTATGCCATAAAGACACTATCCTTCAGCCTCATCAGGTGAAGAAAGTGGGTTTTTCAAACCAAAACAAGAGACCAAGGAATACAAGAACTAGGGAAGTGATTTATCTCAGCTGATCATAACTCCTTTAGAAACTTGCCAAAAAAAAAAAAAAAAAAAAAAACTTTCGAAAACTACATGCAGCACTTGTTCTCATCTGGGCAATCCAAAGGTTTAGAAAAAAAGAATGAGATGGTTCTTCAGACAACAAAGCGGGGCGGGGGAGGAGGGGAAATGCACTGGAATAAGATAAAAAGGCACACTGCTTTTTCCTTCAGTTGTGTATATGCCCGAGGCAATAAACTCCCAAAATAACTTCACCAGGAGTGTAAAAGCTGAGATGGAACACCAAAATATTGCTCAATCCAACTTTCATTGTACTCCTTTCAAAGTACTCCTCACGACTTTCCTTGTGAACTCCTCAGTAACATTTAAAAAACTTAAATGTCATGAAGTCATTTTGCTGTTAAAAACTACGTATTTCCAGAAACAAAACCAAAAAAAAAACAAAAACCTGTTTTGGTGAAGAAAACCTGAGGGTTTTCCCCACATAAAAAAATAATAATAATTAAAAAAGAAAAAAAAAGCTCTTCTCATAGTGGTTTTTGGGAAAAAAAAAAAATAGCAAGCCCCCCCCCCAAAAAAAAAAAAAAAACTGTTTTGTTTGGTCTCCAAGTATGGCCGCACTTGAACTCGGCGGAGCGCTGAGCCCGCGGCGCAGTCCGGCCCCGACCCGCGCGGCGCGGCGCGGCCCGGCCCGGCCCGGCCCGGCCCGGGAGCGGCCGCGGAGGGCGCCCCCCACAGGCGGGCGCGGCCCGGCGTGCTGCCCGTCGGCGCCGGCCCGGGGAGCCGCTCCCTCGCGCCCGCCGCACTTGTCCGCCGAGCCCGGCGTCAGGAGGGAGCCTGAGGGGCCGCGGCTCCCGGGCTGAGGGACCCCGGCGCCGGCTGGGAGAGCGGGCAGGCGCGCCGCGGGCCCGGAGCAGACAATGAGCGGCGAGGGGGCGACGCGAGGGGGAGGCGGGGGCCCGCGGGGCGCCCCGCACCGCCCCTTCACCCCGCCCGCCCGCCCGCCCGCCCGCGGCCCCGCCCCCCGGCCCCCGGCCCCGGCCCCGGCCCCCCGAGCAGCCGCAGGGGGAGGGGCCCGCGCGCCTCGCCCGCGACCCCTCCCCAAATCCCAAAACTTCCCCCAACTCCGCCAACTAAGTTGCGCTCTCACCGTGCGGCGCCCGGGGCTCCCCCGCGGGCCCAGCCGGAGCAGCTCCGCACCTCGCCGCCGGGAAGGACAATAGGCGGCCGCTCGCCCGGCGGCGGCGACGGCTCGAGGCTGAGGCGGCTGAGGCGGCTGAGGCGGCTGAGGCGGCGGCGGCGGCGGCGGCGGCGGCCGAGGCGGCGAGCGGGCACGGCGGTCTCGGCGGAGCCCAGGAGCTTCTCGGCGGCTGCTCCGGCTCCGCGCTGGCCCCGCACACAGCCCCAGCTCGCCCGCGCAGGCGCCACAGGGGGCTCGGGCAGGGGCGGGGCACCCGGGGGGCGGGGCACCCGGGGGGGCGGTAACGCCGACGGGCCCTCCCATGAGTAAGCGCGGAGCCGGGGGCTGCGACGTGGGATTGCGCTGCGGAGCTGCCCATCAAGCTCCGGAGGCCAATAGGAAGGCACCTGGGCGGTGCGTTCAGGTTGCTAAGGGAGGCTGAGGTTGAGCGCCGCCGCTCTGCCGCGGCGCAGGCGTCCCAAAGGAGCGAGCGAGCGAGCGAGGGGCTGGCTGAGGCTGCTCTCGGGGTTGCCCAGCCGCTCTCTCCTCTCCGCCGGGTCTCCGGAAACCGCCTTGCTTCTGGGTGCCGCTGCTTACCTGAGCTGCCGCGGTTTCCAGCCACACCCATATTCAGATGATTTGCTTTTCTGTTTCCTTCCACTTGCAAGCGGAACGCGGGGCTCAGTGTTCTGTGTGTCAGTGCCTTGGAGAGTCATTGTTAGGTCCTCAACAAGTGTTTTCGATGGAAGATGGATCATTGGACGCAGGGAAGGCTCGCTGGCGGCACCGGGATGGTGACAGTGCATCCCATGAACTTTTGGCTCCTCGATCACCACAAAATCATGACAATCCTCTAGTTGCAGAGGACCTCAGAAATCCCTCCTGGAGGCTTTTGAGAAACAAAATACGGCCCATCGGTTGGAAGAAACTTCATTGTGATAGTTGTGTGTGTGTGTCTGTGTGCTTCACACACATTAGGAGAAAAATACCTATCACATCAGACTGTTATTTCACTGGTGCTATTTCTTAGCTTAAACAGAAAGCTATAAAAAAAAAGAATCTATCTGAAGAAAAATACTCAGTAAAAAACGACATCTTGTATGCAGTTCAAGCACGTGCGAATTGATAGTGTTTGAACTAAAAACAGTGGTCACCCAGGCGTGGAAGGATTATTAGCTGAGAAGGAGGAGGGGCGCTGGAAATGTTCTGTATTTTGATCTAGATGGTGGATGACAAAGTTATAAACATGAAAACTCATTCAGCTCTACACCTAAGTGCACTTTGCACAGTTTAAACGTGTATTTGTCTGTGTTCATTTTCTAAATATTGGCACAAGATATGGCAGAAAGACAGACAGACAGACAGAAAAGAAGTGCATGACTTTCTTTTTTGGAAACCCTAATCCAGGCAAGTTTACCACCAGGGACTGAGAGAGGGGTATGGGAGTACTTACTGGGTGTATCTGTCACTTCCATTGTGGGGTGGCTTTAAATCTTAGAAATTAACTACGAGTTAGACTTGAGCTGAAATCTGCTTCCCTGTAAGTGGACCTGGTTCTCGCATGTATTTTCCTAGTTCACCCTCACAGAATGGAAAAACCAAGGCCAAACATTCCCAGTGCTTTATGTGAAATTATTTTCCAACCACCTCATCATGCTGCCCACCCTCCTCAACACTCACTGTAATCTGTCCTTGTCAATATTTGCATGGCAGCACAGAACAAGGAGTATCCTAGATCCTGGCCCTGACTACACCATAAAGGATCCCACCATGAACAGACCACTCCTCAAGAGCCTCAGTCTCCTGTAAACCTAGAAAATCACTTAGACTGTCATAGGTGATAATCTCATGGTTTTCTCCTAGAGCCTAGCTGCTCTGTTACAAAGGCAGCAGCAAATAAATGTTACCATGTCATCTTTCTAGCGACTGCTGACAACATCATTCCCTGCTCCCTGCCTCAGCAGGATTTACACCTTCCCAGGGGGCTGCATGCTGCATCCGGTGGTGGTCTCGAGCCCAGCACTTTTCAAAATTTACTGTGCTACAAATCACCTGGGTGATTTTGTTAAATGTGGATTCTGAGTAGGTCTGGGGTGTGATCTGGGGTTCTGCCTATCTACCAAACTCCCAGGTGATACTGATGCTGCTGGTCCCTATTTGAGAAGCAAGGGTCTTCTCTAAATTTTCCGGACAGCTGAGCTCTGCGTCCTCTTTGGGAGGTCCTAAGCAGTTATCTGCAGGCTGGCACTTGCTCATCATTTAGGAATTAGCTCTAATGTCCCCTCCTTAGAGGAAACATCCTTGGCTGCCCTAAAATAACCCCTTCTCCACTAGTTCATTCATATGACTCAAATTGTTCCATAACGTTTATCTCAGTCTGAAAATAGCTTATTTGTGTATGTTTACTGTCTCCTCCCCCCACTATCATGTAAGCTCCCTGAAATCTGTTTACCCCCCTCTCTTGCATCTATCATGTCCCTGTGAGAAGAGGAAGAACTCAAAAGATTTGCATGAGTGAATTTGTACAGAAGGAGCTATCATGAGGGGTCATCAAACTGAGTGTCCCTGATACTAAACATTCCTCCTTCTAAAGTACACCAAATATCTCCATCCAACGTGCCCCATTTCACCAGAGAGTGAAGTGGGTTTAGTGATTTCCTCACTTTTCCTGAGAGCCACGAAAGATGCCAGGGCCTTATGAAGCTCTAATAGGATTCTATATCTCTGAACTATCTTTTCGGTTGACTACTATCTCTTGTTAACCTCAAAAATAAAATTGCCAGTTATTTTACCAGCAAAAATAAGTTTATTCGGGATCAGCAGAGAATTTCAATTTAGGACACATCAGCTATAGCAGAACCGTAGGCAAGTTGCAGAACATAGAAATGGAATATTCTTTTATAGAGGAAAGGAGGGAGGGGGTAAGGCTGTTATAAACAAAAATCCCATGGAGTGAACTAGCATTTCAAAGTATAGTGGCTTTTTCATTAGCTGAGTTGTGACAGTCTCTCATTGGCTAGGCTATTGCCAGGGAAGGAGGAAAACCTTCCACCTGCTGGGATAGTAAAGTAGTATCCCTGTGCAAGGTCTGGCTCTTCCTATTGGATCTGCAATTGCCAAGGAGGGATAGGCAAAAGAGCTCCCCCTGCCCACCCACCCCGGACTAGACTCCATTCTAAATGCAGTTTCCTTTTATTAATTTTCATACTACCTGATTGATTTACACAGGCTCTAATATCTAAAAATATAACAAGGATAAACTCCATTTTACAGAGAGTCCCTGCTGATGCCAAAGTAAGGAAAAAAAATAAAATCCACACAGTTGTAAGAACATGAATTTCTCTTGAGATCATGGTTTCTAAAACATCCACTTTTGTTAAAAAAAGGAAGCATTAGAACAAACTTATCCCAGGGCTCTTCTTTCACAGAAGTGGACAGTGCTTTTGTGGTACAAATATCCCAATGTTGCTTTGAGGTAATGTCCACTTTCAGCCCCTTGCTTGAGGGGAAGCCAACTCCACCCACAATCCCAGTTCCATGACTTCAGTTTATGATCAGACCTGAACCAGTTTTAATGCATTATATACATAGGCAATAATTATTAATTTAGAGTTGGGCACTTGACCCCAAACACGCCAATGAGGAGACAACAGGAGTAAGTTCCACCCTCTCTTTGAACTATCAGGGGAGCTGCTTTTGTTTATCTCAAGTGGTACTTGGAAGGATATGCTTGTCAGCCATCTTGTCACCATGAGTAAAGAATCTCTTCCAATGGAGCCAGCATGATGGAAAGGTAGAGAAATGAAGAAAAATAATATCTAAATGATGTTGATTGAACTGCGGAATCTACCAATACCTGAAAGGGGACATCACTTGGACATTTCAATCATGAAAACCAATAAAGCCAGCCAGAATGGAAGTCTCTGTCACTTGCATCTATAAGAGCTGCAGTTACGACAATACCCATGAGTTAATGATCACTGGTCAATTCCCTGACCAGCTTCTCAATTCAATTAGCAGATAGATTAGCTATTGAGAGTTTACTATGTGCCATGCCTTAGGCTTGGTTCTTGTCTTTAAGGAATTCAAGGTCAAATGAGGGAAATGGACAAGCAAACCAGCAAGGAACCAGAAGTATAAGTGCCTTCATGGAAGCAAATTCAGGCCAAGAAGAGAACATCTGCTTACCGAGTGAACGTTCAAGGGCACCATGGGGAGGATGCAACAGTGAAACACAGGTCTTGGAGGACAATCAACTGGGTAAAAAATGCTTGTATAGTGCAGGAGGCTTGAGTATGTGTGCACAGGTAGCAAAGAACTTCCTAGAAAAGGAAGAGCAAATTCAAAGACCTGGAGGTATCAGAAATTCAACACACACAGGAAACCCAAGAGGGAAGGAGTAGGAGGGGAAGCCAAAGGAAGTTCACCAAAGCAGGCTTACTAAGGAGTATGGTCTGTATTCTGAAAGGCCAAGAGGGATCTTCAAAAGATCTTAAGTAATGAAACAATGATGAGAACGGATTTTCATCTTAGAAAGATCCATCCTAAGTACCCAGTGCTTAGGCTAACTTTAAGTGTGGGGATGAGGATGAGGGTGGAGGATAGGGAAATCTCTGAGACACCTGGCTCCAAGTAAGAGGTTTTGCAGTCCAGAACTAAGTGTTCACTCCTTGAGTGGCAGAGGGAAGCTTTCTCTCTCAAAGTCAAGCCCAATGCTGTCTAATGTATGGTGAGCCACGGATGTGATTTAAAATTTTCTAGGAACCACATTTAAAAAGTAAAAGCAAACAGATGAAACTAATTTTAATGATATTTTACTAAACCAGGTATTATAATTTTAGCATGTGATCCATAAAAATTATTAATAAGATAGTTTACATTATTTTTATCATACTAAATCTTCAAAATAATCCAGTGTATATTTTATACTTACAGCATGTCTCACTTCAGATTTACCACATTTCAGATGCTTAAAAACCACTTGTGGCTACTGTACCAGAGAGTAGAGGTCAGGTTGATTGATTCACATATAGAGCCTCCATCTGGGAATTTGTTCCAAATCACAACATGTGGCTAGGTCCGTAATTCCCCCCACTGTACCTCTTTCACCAATATTACTTCATTTATTTTGTACAACCCTGGGCTGGTGCTATTATCCCCCTTTTAAAAGCCATTCAGGCTTAGAGAAACTAAGTAATTTGCTCCAAATCACAAAGCTACTAATTGGCACAGCTTATCTTCCAAGGGTTGAAAACCAAGAAAAAGTTACTAAACCCAATTTAGAATGACACACTTGGGTTCCCTCACTCTGCCCCCCTCCTCATTTCCATCTAGAATTGTAAGGGCTCAGCCTATCAACAGAGTTGGGTACTTAGTAAAGAGCTGTTTAAGCAACAAATCCCTTGTTCAGAATGTATGCCTAAAAAAGAAAAAGAATGTATGCCTATCACATGTTTCAAAAATTCTGCAGGCATAAACTAAACAATGTTGAAAAAAAGGACAGTTACATGTTGAATTACAGAAAAGTGCATAGTAAATGGCATTTATTATTATAATTATTGCCACCTTAGACAGTTTTAACATTTTTAGGGACCTTGAAGTACATTCATTGCAAATAGTTTTCTAAAA